GTGAGTCTGAAGAGGGACTTATGGACTTGAGTTGAACCCTTCTGTGATGATTTTTTTTTGACATGTGATTACTTCTTGATATAAAGCTTTCTCTTATACATGTGAGTGTCTCTGGGTTTGTTTTTGTAGTCAACCTGGTCTAACACATAGACCAATCAAGTGACAGAGAGTAGCAAATGAACAAAGAAACAAGATACTTTAATATACTGCTCACAAGAAACACACCTGTACGTAAAGACAAAAATAGTCTAAAAAGATGGAAAATATATATACCAAGGATAAGGAAAGAATCCTTGAGCAGCTTGAGAGATGGTATCAAAAGGTCATAAAAAAAGAAGTGATAATATTAATCTTTAACAAAATAGACTTCAAAGCAGAAACCATTAAGAAGCACTATTACAGCGTTATTAAAGAAACAATTAAGCAAGAATATACAACCATAATAAATATCTATGCATCCAAAGAAAACCCTTCAAAATATATTAAACAAAACCTTTTTTGGGGGGGTGGGGGGCTGTAAATTTCTTGTGTGCAAGCATTTTATCTTATTTTTGAACAGTTTTTATTGGCATAGAATTCTCATATCACACAATTCAATGGTCTAAATATCTTTAAAAGAGTTGTGTCATCATCACCACGATTGCTTTGATTACATATTCTCCATTCTTGTATCCATTGATCTTCACTCTTCATCATTCTCCAGCCTCCCCTGCCATAACCCTAAGGAAATATAGTTACTCTCTTTATGGATTAACTATCCAGGATTTTATATAAAGAAAATTACACCAAAAGACGACAACGAAATAAAACACGGAAACTCTCAAGCCAAAGGCAAGCAGGGGTAGACTTCAATTTGGTAGGGAAGGACCCCTGGCGCATAGTGATTATGTGATAGGCTGCTAGCAGCAGGTCGGCCATTTGAAATCACTGGCTGCTTCTTGGGACAAAGCCGGGGCTTTCTATTCTGGTAAAGAGTTACAGTCTCCACCTCTCACAGGGGCAGTTCTGCCTTGTCCCATAGTGTCTCTGTGAGGAGGAATTGGCTCTGTGGCAGTGCGCTTGCTTTGGGTTTATTTTATAGCACTTCATATTCTGACAGAGTGTTCCAAGCAAAAAGTAAAATCACCTTGGAAATGCTTTCTGTTCCTTGTCATGTGGTGTTATGTTTGAACCAAGACTATAATCCTTAAGGAGTAGCCTTTACTATCTTATAATGAGTCCATGAGGCTAAGAGGCATGATGGAAAATGTATTAAATTATTTTACCTTGTAAAAGGGTAAGTGGGCCCCATTTAACTTCATCCTTCCTGGATTGTTCTTGGTGGGAGTTAAATCTTCCAGAGTTTTGGCATAAAAGGGAGGATTTTTAAAAATCAGTAAATAAAATGAAATGTTATAATCTGTCACGATGATTCCCGTATATTGTGTGTTGTTTCTCCTGTCAGAAAACCTAGACAGTTCCTTTGTATAACTTACATGAATATTATTATGTTCTATGATATAATAGTAAGTTTTCACTTGGTTGAAATAAATGAAATGTAAACCTAGAGACTTTTTAATGTTTTTCTGATTAGTTAAGAGAATAGTCTGTCAACTTCAAAATCTGTGCTTTGATTCCTAAATGAGATGTCATCCACTAATATGCCCCTTTTAACCACAATCCCTTCTGCGCTGTAGCATGAATGCTGGCCTCTATTTGGAGGGAGTTCAAAGAGCCCTGGCCTGTGTTACACGTTGGGCTGCTATCCTCCAGGATCAAAGTTGGAAGCCATCCACCAGTACCATGTGAGAAAGAGGAAACTTTCTCTTCCCGTAAACAGGCAGCCTTAGACACTCACAGAGGCAGCTCTCCCCTGTCCTAACTGGTCGCTAAGAATTGCCATTGACTAGGTGGCAGCCAGTTAAATCATGGCTCTGTTATGCTAATGGACAGGAATAAAGTGGGATTAAGTCTTGACTTTAGTAAAGGTTGGGAACCAAGTCTTACCCTTTGTTTCCTCAAGGGTGTGGTCTGCTGAAAGACAAGACCACACCTTTGTCAGAGCCAGCAGTTCTCATCTGTGGGTCAAGACCCCTTTGGGGGTCGAACCACCCTTTCACAGGGGTCACCTAATACATCCTGCAAATCAGATATTTACATTAAAATTCATAACAGTAGTAAAATGATGTAGCAACGAAAATAATCTTATGGTGGGGGGTCACCACAACAGGAGGAACTGTATTAAAGGGTTGCAGTATTGAGAACCACTGGTCAAAGCCATTCCTCTATGTACAGTGTCACCTCAGCCGCACAGAGAGAAGACCCAGAACTCTTAGGAAAGCCATGAGCAGATCCTGTGCAAGATCTTTGACGCGGTGGAGGCTGAAGCCAGAACACCAGAGGCCAAGGAAAGGAGACTGGGAAACAGAAGCACAGAGAAGTGCCAAGATGATGACACTGTGAGACTGAGGCAGAGCAGTGGGCTGGCTTCCTGGCCCAGAGAGGCAGACGCCAAGGGACCCTGTGGCTGAGAGGCTCAGGACTGGAGAGAGACTGGGCTGCTGGTTGCTGAGAACCAAGGACGGTATTCTTAGATTTACTGATCCTGGTTTATGGTAACCTGTAACTCCCCTGAAAAGAATCCAAACTTACCACCAGGGAGTGGATTCTGCCTCACAGCCACCCTATTGGACAGGGCAGAACTGACACACAGGCTTCTGAGACTGTAACTCTGAAACAGGCTCATCTTCTTCCTGAACTACCCTAATAAACGCCTTTGACTCTGAATATCGTCTGCAAGTTCAGTGTGGCCATTGCAGCGAATTATCGAACCCAGCAGGGAAGTAGAGGGCTGTGGGAAGGATGGCTGGTGTCAGAGTCGGGGAAAGAAGGATGGAGGTGCAGGCATGCCTGGCCCTGCTTCGTAACATTAGGGAAGCCAGTGGCGGTCAGACATGGTGCTTCCCGCTGCACCGTTTTCACCCTAAGTGATTACATTAGTCACTTGTTTGATTTCACAGCACATGTTTTCATTCATTTCTCCCCAAAATGGGCTGATCTGTGATCCACAGTGTTGGACAAATGAAATGCTTCCAAAGGGAATGGAAGTTGGGAGAGGGGAGTGGGTGTAAAGGAAGTGAGTGGAAGGAATCACTGGGCAAAAGTTAGTGGTACAACTGACTTCCTTTTTGTAGAGCATGGCAACACCAGTTCATGACTGTCTACAAAGTTGGCAGCTGCAGCTTGAAAACCTAGTTTATGATGCTGTGGCTGAGTCCCCCAAAGAGGTCCTGACCAGCAAAGCCTCTTATTTCAAGCTATCTAGAAGCCCAGTGATGTAGCATATCTGAGACCAAGGAAACAGGTGCTTCACAGAGTTATAAATACGCATCCCTGTTTGCGGCATTTATGGAATCCTAGGAATATGAAACATAACATTCACTGAACTAGTTGAAATTCAACACAGGTATTTATGGTTATTTTTCCCCTCAATCTTTGAATGTGAAAGATCATCATTAGCAATTATGGGTTGAGGCCACAGTTTTTTATTCCAAAGGATTGGGAATCAGATGGCAGAGAGATACATTTGTAGATAAATGAACCAGTTGCTGCCGAGTTGGCAGCTGCAAATACGTCAGCTCCTACGTGTTCCCACAGAGTTCTCAAGGGCTGAGTTTTCAGAAGTAAATCAGCAAGTCTTTTTTCTCAAGCGCCTCGAGGTAGGCGTGAACTCCGACCTTCAGCTCCTGACATACCAACGATTTGTACCGCCCAGGGCCTTCGCTGTTCTATGTCTCTATCACCACATAAGGCTTTAAAAGGAACATGTGCATCCTTTTATTCCTTACATTTAGTTTGAATTCATTAACAGATTTGTATTGCTAATTATTGTTATTGTTAGTTACAGTGCCAGTCACGGTTTCGACACTGGGGATAAAGGAGGAAGCAAAGTAAACATGAATCCTTGCCCTTTGGAGGGAGGAGACGGACCATGAACTAAATGAGTAAGACAGAAACTGTATTAGGAAATGCCAAGTGCTCTGAGGAGAAACGAAGCAGACAATCATGATAAAGAGATAAGGAAGACAGGGTACATTTTTTCCTTAAGGGTGGTCAGGGAAGGCTTCAGTCCTAAAGGGAACCTCCGAAGGACTTCTATCTCGGAGTGGCCCTATAGGACACAGAAGAACTTCCCCCATAGAGGTTTCCCTACCCCGCCTTTCTCATGGGGAACCACTGACGGGTTGGAACCACGGACCTTGATTTAAGCAACCAAATGCTTCAACCAGTGTACCACCAGGGCTCCAAGCTTTGACAGGAGGGACTATTTGAGAGAAGCCCTGGAAGAGAGACAGACTCAAGGCAGAGAACTCTCTAGAGAAAGATCATCTAGCCTGAAGGAACGGCAAGTGCCAAATGCCTAGAGACGGAGCAGGCCTGGCTTTAGAAACAAGGAGGCCTGGGAGGTTACCGCAGCCGGAGAAGTCAGTGCACGGTGGGAAATGAAGCAGTGTCTTGCTTGGGATAGCTTGTGGTTTTGAGAGAAATGGAGGCCATATAAACTAGCAATCTCTAGTGAAGGTTTTAGCAACAATTGCTTCATTCCACAGGTGACTTGTTTATAATCTGCATCATATAAGAGTAAAGAGATTATAGCACAGCAGTTAATAATACTTTTCTGTAAGTCAATTTAGCATTTCCTTTTTCATCTGGATTTTTTCTATTGCTGGTATTTTTTCAATATGTAAACAAAATATTAAACTCAATCCATTTATAAATTGTCAAAATTTAATATAATATAAATGAATGGTTTTGAATTTGCTATAAAGCATGAGATAAAATGGCATCAAAAATAAAAATATACAGATGTGATTATATGATAACCTTGCCAATCCAATAGGTCAACCTTGGAAACTCCTGATTACTTTGCATAAAGTATTGTGAAAGCTCTGTACTGCTTGCATGTTACCACAGATATGTGGGTTTACATGAACTCATTTAGTTCTCCTTTTCTCTTACAGGAGAATATACATGGACGAGTAAGTATATCCTTTTATTAATAGCACTTAAGTTTTTAAAAATCATGTGGGAAAGCTGTTAAAATGTCCTGTCCAAGGCAGAGCTTTATATTATACAGCTTTTAGCAAATAAAATTGCAAAAGCATTTACTCCAGGTCTCATTGACGCACCAGATGTCCATGTTAATTTACAATTTATCAGAGATGATCTTACATTTTAAGTTACGATCATATAGATTTTCCTGAATCTTTTAAGAAGATCTTGAGGCATGACTTACTTAAATCCGAAGTTTGCAGGTGCTAGGAACTGCTCATCATACATATACATTTAGGAATATTAATGTGGTCCAAAACATATTTCACTAAGAACAACATTGTCCTACAAATCCACGTTGATGCGTCTGAAGATTTCTTAGACTGAGGTGAAAAGGAAAATCCTACAGTTAATATTATGTTTCTTCCAATCTGTACTCACATGCTTTTTGAAGAAAAGAACACACACATAGAGACCATGGTAATAAAATATTGAGATGAAGGCTTTGGGAAAATTATCTTGTCTGCACACATGCACACTTTCAATTTACCTAATTTTCTTGAGAGAAAGCATGTTCAATCTATTAGAGAAAGGATGAAATTGCCTTAAACATATCTCATATGTGTACATTGGACTGTGATCTAAAAGGTTAGCAGTTCAAAATCACCAGGAGCTCATCAGGAAAAAGATAAGGCTTTCTACTCCTACCAGGAGTTGCAGTCTCAGGAACTTCCAGCGGCAGTTCCAGCCTGTCCTAGAGGCTCATTCGGAGACGACATCAACTCGATGGCAGTGAATTTTGTGTTTGTTTTTTCAAGCATGTGTGTGGTCAGCAATTACCTAAGGTCTTGAGTTCCAATTCTGGATTTTTCAAATCCTGAGAGTGAGCAGCAAGAAATACAAAATTTTAAACCAAATGATTTGATTTTGAGCCATGAATTCCTTATTAATATTTTGGTGTAGTGCAACTGTGGGTACAGAATTCCAGAAATGAGATGGAACAATCAGCCATCAGACAAGCAACCCCTAGGCCACGGCTTTATACCTAACTAAGCTGAGAAGTGGGTGTTTGCCACACCAAATGGGCCTTCAGTTCTATCACTGCATAGATAGAACTAACCCTTTAAGTTTTTTGGAGGGAAACAATAGGCTATAGTATGAACAGACATGAGTCGATTTGTCTAATGAGTTTCCAACTCTAAGATCACTTGATGTGAAAAGGAACACCGAGAGGAGCGGCTGCAACTCTTGGACTGTGGCCCTGGCATGCAGAGGAAAAGGGGCTTCATTCTGTACATATGTGTCCTGGGACTGTTCGCAGGGTTTGGACATATGCTCTAAATTCTGTTAAGGTTGTTATTCCTAAAGCTTAGCCATTTATAGTCAAAATGGAGAGAAAATACAATAAAATAAAAGAGAAAAGCGAGATTCAGAGAATGTTTTCCTTCATAAAATTAGCATACACAGGCCTCTCCACAAGACAGCAAACAGTACATTGTACTGAAGCACTTGATTTAAAAACAAAAACAAAACGGCACTAGCTTTTGCGCCACCCTGCTGTGTGGGAGTTGGCTAGACTGTGTGCCCCTCTAGCATGTTCTATGCATCAGGACTGCAGAAGCAGCAGCCGCATCACAGTGGGTGGCTGGAGGAACATCAAATCTACGTTTGCAGGAGGTTATTTTCCATCCTGTTTCCCTTGCTTGGGTCAGGAGACAGACATGCTGCTTCATAAAAGGGTAAAAGGCAATGTCAAGTACAATGTAATTGTTGCTAAGGCCAGCAGTGTTGCAGCCAAGAGTGCGTTTGAATGATGTCGATATTTACATCTCTCCCCTTAAACTCCTTACTTGTTTTTAAAAACAATCTACATCTTAAAGATACGGAGAAAAGCAGAGATGTTTATAATTCCAGGAATGTTTACTCTGATTTATAATCGTATGCCAACATCAAAGACAGAATTATAGGGATGAGAATCATAGAATTACCCGCAAAATAGGATCCAAGACAGTATCTGTCACAAGACCTTTGTTCTAAAGGAAGAAAAAGATGCCCATTCGAAGCCAACCTATCTCCAGAACTGCAGTGGTTTTGTAATCTTCGTGTTTTTACTTTCTTCTTTTTCCTTCCTGTGTAGTCTCTGTCTGACTAGCTAATCCAAACCTAGGATCTCAGGGCTCTTATTACTCTCAAGTAGTAAAGTTAGGTTTTTAAGATTTATATTTGTTCATTTATTTAAATTACTAAAGGAAAGCAAGTGCGTGCGCGCGCGCGCACACACACACACACACACACACACCCTCACTGTCCCACGTTGATTCAGACTCTTAGCCTTGCTTTAGTACAGGATGTATCTGCCTCTGTGACTTTCCCAGACAGAATCCAAGTGCGGGCCGTGAAGACATTCCAGAATGAACCATTGTCACATTACAGTGAGTCCCCAATGACACTGCAGTTTTCTCTTTACACACTCACATTCTGACTGCAATGTGCCCATTGTGTGCTTCCCGTTAGGAGTCCTGGGGTAAGTGCTGGGCTGCTAACCACAAGGCTGGTAGATCAAACCCACCAACTGCTCCTCTGGAGAAAGAGGAGGTTAGCTGCTCCTGTAAAGATTTCTAGCCTCACTATGTATACAGTGGCGTAATAGTTATGTGTTGGGCTAAGATTCACAAAGTTTGCAATTCGAAACCACCAGCCACTAAGGGAGAAAGACAAAGCTTTCAACTCCCATCAAGTTGCAGTCCCAGAAATTCACAGAGATAGTTCTACTCTGTCCTATAGGGTTGCCATGAGTCTGCATTGAAGCTATGGCATTGAGGGTTTTATTTTGTTTGGTGTTTGAGTGGTGCAATGATTACGCACTTGACTGCTAACTAGAAAGATTGGGGGTTTGAACAAGCTCAGTGGCTCTGGGAGAGAGCGCTCTGGTGATCTCCTCCTGCGAAGATCACCATCAAGAGAAGCTACACTGTCCTCTGGGGTCAATACAAATGGAAAATCAACGTAATAGCATCTGATAACAACATGTCTTAATTTACTTTAGCAACCTCTTACTGACAAGTTAATGGTGCTTTATGAGCATTGATGCTCTGTGTTCATTCTTAGGTATGATTTTTGCACAATAATCTGATTATTTTCTCGGGAAGCATTTTTAAATGTAGAATTGCAAAATAAAAGTCCTTGTGGTACTTTTTTATCAGAAGATTTTCTCTTCTTAATTTGTGCCAATATAAATAGACCAAAATGGTATGTTAGTGTTTGAATCATTCCTTATCTTGAGCACTTTCCATACATTTTTAGCCATTTTTATTTCTCCTTTAAGGAATTGCCCTTTAAAATAACTGTATGCTTTTTTGAGACTGTCATATTTTTCTCTAGCAGATCTATGATAGCTTTTAACTAGCCAGTACATTAACCCTTTATTCAATATGTTATACTTACTTTTTATAGCTTATCATATGGCTTTTGATATTGTTTATGGCTGCATCCTGTTTT